GTCCGGTCCCTTAGTGCTCCTCTCTCTCTCCCCTCCTTGGTCCCCGCTCCCAGGTGTCTCCTGGTAGCGTAGCCTAAGGAACAGTGCGCACCATGGTACAGGAGATTCAGTCTCCTGTACCTGGCCGGACTGACAGGAACTTCCTTTCAGTCCGGCTGGGTACAGGAAACATAAGTTCCTGTACCGCGGTGTGCACTACTCCGCTCGGCCACGCTACACAGAGTGCCTGGCAGGAGGGAGCGCTGTGCACCCACCTCCTGCCGGATCACTCCGATCTAGCGTCCTAATGCAGACGCTTGTGCCGCCATATGGACAAGCCGAACCACTCATTCATTATCAGTACTGCTGATAATTATTGGCTAATAATTATGATAATTGGTCGATCCCTACTTCATACATTTTCACCAAGGGTAGTAATGAAGGTTTTGGAAAATGTTTGCTGTACAATGGGAGGACTAACAGACCTGTAATTGATATTACCTGTTGATATTCTGTATTTTCAGCAATATCGGTATCGCCCAATAAAGATGCCGATAATGCAGACCAGGGTTGCCATCAAGGTCCTGGGGGGGCCCCTTCCCAGCAGCTCCCTTCAGCTCCCCTGTCTAACTCTCGCGAGTCCCGTGGCCGTCAGAGCGTTGCCATGGGGTTACCATGGCAACGCAGCACGCAGGCCGCTAGAGTTGGACAAGGGAGCTGCAGGGAAGGTAAGTAAGAGTGTGCTGGGACCCCCAGGGAATGCCATATCCCCTCCCTGGCCAGGTAAAAAGCAGGGAGAGGGGACTAAATGTAAAAAAAAAGACAATGCCCCCCCCCACCCATTTTACACACATTACATACCTACACAAACACTCACTGCACAAACACCCTACATTCATTATACACACTACACAAACACTCTGCATTCTTTATATACACACACTATACACACACTACACAAACACACACTGCATTCACTACACACACACACTGCATTCACTACACACACACACACTCTCTCACTGCATTCACTAATCAAATACTACACACACATTCTTGAAAACTTAAAAATTCTGACTGGCATGTATATTTTGTTCATTTACCTTAATAAAAAAAAAATATTTGCAAATAAATTATAAACCTGTTCAGTTAACAGTAGATTTGTGTAGATATAGTTTATTTTTTCAAAATGGTAAATGTACAGAGTATTGGTATCGGTAAGCTATTGGCCTGAAAGTTCAGATTATCAGTATCTGTATTGGCTCTAAAAAAATCAATATCGGATGATCTCTAGTAAGTAGTGTGGTTAGTCTTGACAATGCGAATAGAAGAGAATAAAGCATATTACGTGAATGAAAGCAGAAACTGCTAAATAATATTACATGAAACGCCAAGCATCATAGCTACTACACTGTGTTATGGTGCCTTCCATTGTAAGCTGTCAAACCATTTTTAGAATGATTTAAATTCCTACCTGGGGTCAGCCGAGTGCTGCTCCCTGCCTCGTCCAACAAATTATTGCAGTGCAGGGCTTAGCTGACACTTGTAGCCGTGGCTGGTTCCCATATTTACCACTATAATGTCTTAAAGCATAGACCTTAATAGGGCTAACGTTACAGATATCTTAGCCATAATTTTATATAGTGAGTGTAAGAGATCCTCGATTTAAAATATATAAATAATTGAGAATACAATATAAAATAAGGATTGTCCTGGAAGCAATAGTTTTGTCTTTTAGATATTATATAAAAATATAAATATAGACATATAAAATCCATTATAGCAGAGTTTATAAGATTAAACTGAATGCTTGCAAATATCATTAATAGGTTAACATTCCCTTCTGAACATGTCATCATGTCAGCCTCTCTGTCATTTTAAGATGGAGCAGCGTCTGTCTCCAAGTCTCTCCTCTGTGTCTTAAAGGACCACTCTTGGCACACAGACCACTTCAGCTTAATGAAGTGGTCTGGGTGCCAGGTCCAGCTAGGATTAACCCATTCTTTTATAAACATAGCAGTTTCAGAGAAACTGCTATGTTTATGAATGGGTTAAGCCTTCCCCCAAAGCCTCTAGCGGCTGTCTCATTGACAGCCGCTAGAGGCGCTTGCGTGCTTCTCACTGTGATTTTCACAGTGAGAGCACGCCAGCGTCCATAGGAAAGCATTGCGAATGCTTTCCTATGCGACCGGCTGAATGCACGCGCATTCAGCCGACGGGGAGGAGGAGGATCGTAACTTTTAACCCTTTTCCAGAGCCGGGTAGTGCCAGGAAAACGAGTATGATTTCCTGGCACTATAGTGGTCCTTTAACATTTTAAAAGTACACCTATTTATACCTTAGGTGTCTTCATTTTAGGGTCACCGTAGTTCATATATGAAAAAGTAACCCTTGTTTACAAAGTGCACAGTTTAAGAAATAAAACATTTTGTTCTAAATGTTGTAATATTTGCATTTGCCCATAACACCCTCTCCATTAAACTGTGGGCATTGTAGCGCACAGTCTTTTGTTTTTTTTGTGCTCCCAGCATCTTTGATCATTGTTGTAACAGTAAAATATCCGTAGTGAGATCTTTGCATGTAAAGGTGGTTGATTAAAATGCGCAAAGCTTTTGTCTGGGAAAGAATTGAAAAGAACACCAAGTTCCAGAGTAAGATATTCTTGGATGGATCCGGATACGAATTGTAATCCAAAGTTAAAAGTAGTAATTGTATTTGTAATCCAAAGTCCTTAAAGGTCTATAGAAGTTTACATTCCTTAGATACATTGCTGGAGGTTGTGTTTGTAGAATTCCTGGGTATTGATTGTAGAGTCCAGCTATCCAAGTATTTGGCTAGAATTGGTTGCAGATATTGAATCAGCATCATCTGTTATCACCGTGGTGATGGTGTTGGTATTTATCTTTGTCTTTGCTTTTTATTTTGTTTTTTCCATGAAATATCTTTACACCGTTTATGATGTGTATAGATTGGATACTCCGATATTCTTTTACGGAATAAATTGACAGCATTTCCAAGACATTGTCTTAAGTGACATGGATCCAGTTATAGTAAATGTTATGTTGATACAGCAATCGAAGTGGAATCTCAAGAACGCCTCTTTTTGCTGTATTGGAATCTTTGAAACATCACAGTGATAGACATCTCACTGACATCAGGTGCTGTTGTGCTAAAAATGTTAGGTAAAATCTGTGGGAAAATCTTTACATTTGTTATACTTTGTATAATAATGATAGATGAAATAATAACATAATCTTTCTAGTGTTTTGTTTTAAAGATAAAAACCATTGTATATGATTTAGATATAGAAGGATAATTTGAAGCAGCAAAGTATTTACCACCTTTGTTCACAATGATATGTAAAATTACATTCTCTTTAAATGTTAAAAATACTCTTTTATTCAAAATCTCTCAATATATTTAGAATATGACATTATTCATTTTTTTTTTTGTCCTGTAACAGTTATTAGTG